ACTCTGGCTTCATCTTTCTTGTGAGACATTTACCTGCTGGAAGAAGCGTTTAGGAGCGGAGACTACAGATTGAAAAACTGTGATCCCCGTCTGGAAAAGAGACAAAGTACCGTCACACGGCTCCACCCTTCATCATCCGATCTGATCTCAGGCCTGAGGAGGAGACTGAGCTCACAAAGGCAGAAAGTGGGTCAGAACTGGTGGATAACAAAGAGGTGCTGAAAACTGTTATCTCACATATCCTTCTGCACACTGTTAAACGTTTGGTTTATGGTATTCAATAAAAGCTTAACAACAAATTAAACTCTCTTTCATTTCAGCAGACGATCATGTCAGGACTTTTTAAACCAGATGTTGGAATCTTGGAAATAAAAGGTTTTATATTCTTCACTTCAAATCCAACTCCAATAAATGTTCACTCACATTGCTGGAGCTCAACCAGAGACCCTCAGCAGTGCACAGTTTATGTGCTGACGGGTCAGAGAGACTCAAATGATGCTTCTCCAAAGAATACAAAGCAGAACATAAGACGAGGTTAAAAACATCATTACTCTTCAACCAAACACCTCCAGCTCCTCTCGACAGATTTGAACAAATATCCAGAAGGTGAGTGGAAGTAAATGAAAAATGAACATGTGTCCTTTCACTACTTTTAGAGTTTGGCACATCAATGCAAACAGGTGGAGTTTATTCTAAAGCCGATTCTCTTTCAAAGAGAAGGAGGATGGGGCGCTGGTGGCGCAGTGGTTAGTGCGCTAGCCCCATGTACGGATGCTACAGTCGTCCGAGTGGGCGGACCAGGTTTGACTCCGACCTGCGACGTTTCCTACATGTCATTCCCACTCTCTCTCTCCCCCTGATTTCTGACTCTATCCACTGTCCTGTCTCTCCAATAAAGGCAAAGAAAAGCCCAAATATCAAAAATAAAAATCTTTAAAAAAAAGAGGAGGATGCATGATGATTTAAAATGGGATTATATTTGACACTAACATGTCTCATTTCATTCATTTGAGAAAGGGGCATTGCTCCTCATCACTGCATTCCCCTCGGGGGGAACACTGCCTCTGTACATGGGGCACGCCCAATAACCACCACACCACTGATGCATTTCCCATCAGTTACAAAGCTGAATCTGAACAAAGTGAATAAAGGCCGTTTCAAATAATAATTACTTCACAGCAGGTTCAACTTCATCTCAGCTATGGCATCACTATCACTTGTTGGTAGCTGCCTCAACAGTCTCACTTGTGTTAGAGAATAGAATTTATGATTAACTCGAGTTAAAAATCAAGTACGCTACAGCGCTCCTGATGTGAATCGCTTGCTTTGCATAAGTTAATGCAAATAACATGCACACGAGAGAATGCTGCTGGACAAGAACCAACTGTCACACTGACTGAGTTCACATCAGATAACGTGTGTCTGCATCGCTGCCAGGAGAGAAACTTTCCTGGTGCTGTCGGGAGCATGAAACATCGTGTCTTTCATCTCAACACAGACACACAAAAAAACCTGGAAAGAGATCGATGGCAGACGCTCGGGCTTTATGACTGACTCCAAGGCTGCAGGGCAAACGGGAAGCCTGAAAGAACTAACTGTGCTCACATGTAAAAGAGAACAGCCTAAAGTCCAAGAGGCAACTTTGGATGTATGAACAAACATTTACCACAATACAGGATGCAATGTCACCTAATCTTAGATCAATTAAGAAGAATGCTAATGCAAAAACCTGGCTCAGGCAGCAGACGTCCTTTTAGGATAGTCCTTCCTTTTTTGTTGCCTAGATGCACCAAACACCCGTAAAAACAAGCTCAAAACAAACCTCAAGCATCTTTTTTTAAAAGAATACACAGGGCAGTTTTCTTCTTCAAAAAGGCTCAGGTCAACGACATCTTTACTCTCCCTTCCCTCCCCCCATTAGAGGGGCAATGAAGCACAAAATTAAATGTCCTCCACAAACAACACCTCCCCTCTCAACTCCTGCAATTAGCAGCTTCCCAATTATTTTTCCATGAACAAAATGAAATGTGACGGCAGCCCCGCTGAGGCCAACACAAACTCTTCAGAGTCCTCTGGTTGGGTTTAAACCACAGCTTGGACGCACTAATCTCTGGTGCATCACTCGCGTTCATTTCAATGCAAAAACTTTTCTACATTCTGACTTCAACATCGATCTCTGAAGAGGTCTTAGGATGTTCTGCACTCCAGCCTGGAGTTTCTTTAACACACTCTCAGCTCACTTTTCTGTCATCTACTCTTAACTCTATCCAGTATTTCAACTTGAATCCCCTGCAACTGGCCTGTAACTCAATCTCACAGAAGTTTAATCCAGCCAACAAAAGTGCTTTCCCCGATAATCCGTCCGTCTTCTTCAATAAAAATGCTTCATCAGTACATTTATATTTTTACAAGCCAAGATTTGTCAGAGATTTTCTTAAACAAACCAAACACATTCAGAAAAGCTTTTGGCTTATGATGCATGACTTTCTGAATGCCAACAATGAATTCCCCATTTCAAACTGTGAGTCGATGCCTCTTTTTTTCCAGTAAACAGAGACTGCCAGCTCTTGAAGCTCTGGCATACTTCACACATCAGTGGATTATAGGTGGAAACGAATAAAACAGGTGGACAGAAGAGCCCATCTATCACTCTGAGTGGCTGGAAAGAGCCTCAGAGGATTGAACTGCAGCTCGACTTGGGGAGAAATGTTGCATGCAGTGTCGGGGAATAGGTCCACATTCTTGTTCAGTTAAATTCTTGATTGTGTTTGGAGTTTATTTACCATTATTCAAAGATTCCTCAAGCAAGAAACCAGCCAATTAACTTCTCTCAAACTGAAGACAGCTCTGAATCAAACTCCCAGAGGAGAAAAAAAAAAGCACTGAACTGCCAAAAGTGGTAATAAGACTTAAATGAGTTCATCCATCACACTAACTGAAGCGTAAGATGTGACATCAGGAAAACACTTAATTCTGCATGTTGGTCACACTGAAAAATCTGTTTCTTCTTACTTGGTGAATTTACTTGTTGGTCAGGAAGTTTGACTCCCTGTCGTGCCTATTGGTTGCCTGGCAACTGCTAAAAAATATGATGGTTTATATCCCTATACAATCACAATGTAGCCTGAAACATTTCCCACCATGCATATTTCTAAACAGAGAATTTAACATTTAAATAAGTGATCTTCAGAGTTGTACTCGGGTTACATCTGGACAGAGTCCACAGCAGCTTCCTGTTGTTTTCTACCTTTGTGCTAAGCTAAGCCAATCTGCAGCTGTCTGTGTGGTCATGTTTCCTGGACAGATATGAGAGAATCTTTTTATCCCACTCTCAGTGAAAACATAGACAGTTCTTTAAAGACAAATGAAGTGTGAATGGCGTCAGTCTGAGACAGTAAAGGATATCGTTCCAGAACCAGTAGAACCAGGTGGTGTACATCCAGAACTTGGTGGCCAGGTAGATCCCCAGAGGGAGAGCGCTGTGCATGGAGTGGTCGAAGAAAGCCCTGCAGAGAGAGAGAGAGAGAGAGAGAGAGAAGTTATCAGCAGAATTATCAAAATGATTATCCCTCCAGTTGATAAAAATATATTGCATATATAGTGTGCTAACATTAGCCTGCTAACACAACAATGCAGGCTTTAGGCAATTGCATCTCGAGTCAAGAACTATTTTGTCTGCCTCTTACGCTTAATGGTGCATTCTATATAATAACTCATTTGTGAGAACGCGGGGAAGTGGGTTGGAGGTGTGTCGCTGGAGGAGAGCGGAGGCTTCAGAACGAGAGTAAGCGGAGGCATGGCCAAACAGCAGTTTGTTTTGGTTTCCTGTTGGAGAACCAGGCTGACATCTACGGGATCAAAAAGGTCACACCTTCTTCCTTTCTATGGCTACTTGTGTCTGAAAACAACTTTTACATCAGAGATCAACATGTTCCCAGTCAAAGTGGTATCTTCCACTTCTTTAGTAAAGCCTGTATTTCTGATTTACTGTCATACAAATAGTCTTGGCTCTAATTGCTGCTGTTTTTGTAAAAATATAGCAAGCTTGAATTTTAGAATCTGGCTTCCCTCCCACTGCAGATACTGCGTAGCCTGTATCATCTCCGTTTCCTACATCAAGGCATTCTTCCAGCAGATGTTAAACGTGTTCACTTCACATGTGGACAGATGCAAACCTGAGTGTTTGATCTGAACGGTTCAGTCTGGCAGCAGCAACAATAAACCAAACGTTAACCCTCAGCAGCCCTCACTGTTACAAAGTGTTATTTATCCAAGTAGTTATGTAAAGAATGTCACTAGATATTCAGGTGACACGCTGGGTAATGTGTGTTATTGTAGTGTAGAGCTGAAGAGAACAACAAACTACACCAGCAGGACCAGATGGCTGCAGTGACGGAGTTAAAGCAGAGTGTGCAGTGTGTGTGTTTAAAGATGTTTATTTCAATGCATTGTGTGGAATGTCAGAAATGACATGTGTGTTTGCACGCAGGTATATGTGCATGTTCATCACTCAACTCATCGAGACCGTCTGTTTTTAGGAAATCGCAATCAGAGTATTATTGTGAGTTGCATGATAAGACATATACGAGATTAAATTCATTAATTGATGTGTCATAGAGACGTACTTGGAGAGGAACTGCACGGCGATCCAGACACCGGCGTACATGAGGCCCTTGATCAGCCAGGAGTCGATGTCCAGGTCAGCGATGAATCCAACGAGCCAGATGACCAGGAAGGGCGTTCCCAGCATCACCTTCTGCCTGAACTCCTGCACGAGGAGGAGGAGGAAGAGGAGGAGGAGGAGGGAGACGGAGGGTACATCAGCAGGAGTTATAAAAAAAACAACAAGACAGGAGATACAGAGAAGAGGCGAACAAGTACTGGAGGAGACAGACCGGAACAAGAGACTTCAGACTTTTGTATCTATAAAAAGGTACAAAATCCATTGATTCAAAAGTGATAGAAGTCATGGTGATTAACATCTACCTGCAGGGGGATCACCTACAGTCTTGATTTCTATTAGTCTCTAATGGAATCTAGAGTTCATGAAGTTAGTTAAAATACTCATAGTTAAAATCTACAAATGATGATTTTCTGCAATAGATGCATACGATACATTTGCAAATAGATATTTGGATGTTATGACGTCTAATTGCCTGACTATGATGAGGGATGTTTTCCTAGGGCTAGCTATACACATTTCTAGTTTACATACAAATACAAAACTGAAATCTGCTACTTTAGTTTGACTAAGATACAGAATCACTAAAAAGGAAATTTAGCAGCAATCCAACCAAGTGAGATGCCAAAAATCTACGACCGGCCTGTGAGGCTCTACCTGCTATAGAATGGGTCTGACACTGAGGGGCTCCACTAACTGTGAGACAAACCTCAGATCTACATGTAATGCTATAAATTGTCTACAATCTATTTTTCATTTGTATGAACACTTAAATCTCGATCCAACAAATAAGGAAGACTTCAGAGGTCTATTTGTATATCCCTCTAGATCAACACTTTACCTTTTTTAACTAATGACATCCCAGCAAACGAGAGGAAAGACAAAACATTAAAGTTTCAACAAATGCATTCAAGGTCTTCAATGAAAAAATTACACAAGTAGAAATATCTATACAGTCTTCCACCTGGGAAAGATGTATAAATATTGTGGTTGTGTGTCTGATGCAAAAGTTTATAGACAGCCAAAGGAATGCTTTCTTTAAGATAAAAACAAACAAACACAGGATGGGACCTCCACACTGAATCCGGTTCAAAGCTCTTGCTATAACCCTCTGTGGTCGGACCGGACTGTGCAGCAGTTATCCTGTCCCATTATTTTCCTTTAGTTGTAGTGTTAAGCCTATCGTTTACGAGTCGTCTCCTTCCTGTCAGACTGTCTGATTGCAGACTTGAGAAGCAGTAAACGGCTGTCAAAGTGACATGTTTAGACTGAAAGGCGATCTCAGCCCCCGGACATGCCGTGACATCGCTGCTGCAGTGCAAAAGTTCAGCGTGGACAGGCCTGTGTGAGCACGTCAGTGTGAGCGGTGACTGAGGGGTTTCACCGCGAGCCACACAGAGGTGTGTTTGTGTGAAAGATTAGGTGGTTACACTTGATTCTACCTTTGGACATTTCTTGAAAAGCTTCAAGGTTTACTGTACAATGTGATGTGTGTGTGTGTGTTTACCTTGTCCATCTTAAGTCTCTTCAGGTAGGACGGGCTGTCGTAGCCTTTGGCCTGCCGTGCCTCCTGTAAGTGATTGATCATCCAAACGTTCTTCCTCTGCTTGGCGAGATCTAACGGGGTTTCACCCTAAACACCAACAGAAGACCAGTCTGTATTTATCCTCCATCATTAAAATAAAAACGTGCTTGTCCATCATTCATAGGGGCAACCAGTGGATGAAACCATGACGACATGATTACCTTGATGTTCTGTGCATCGACGTTAGCGTTAGCATCCAGTAGCAGGCTGATAACAGTGGTGTTACCAGCCAGTACGGCCCAGTGCAGCGCTGTGTTCTTGTGATATTTGTCGCCCAGATTGACAGAAACATTGAAGGTCAGGAGCAGCCGGGTTGGATCCACACTGTCGCCCAGAGGAGGAAAAAAAATGAGCATGATATATATGGAATTTTTGAAACTCATACACATGCTAAAGCTATATTTCACTGCTAATGATGAAATCCCTCGATTCATAGATTGATTAATCACATCACTAAAGTATAAATAGAGATGTTCCCGCTGAAAAAATAGCTCATAAGGGAAAATTCAGACAACGCTGAGCAGCACTGGGACTTGTTTCCCCGTGTAAGCAGTCTGTCTGATGAATGACCGCACATTTACACATGACAAGGTTGTTGTGTGTCTGCAGTCAGCAGAAGCATGCTCCAGCTTGTGTGAGGGTTCAGGAACGTTTTTTTTGAAGTGGCCTAATAGTCAGACTTTTTTCCTGGCATCAGTTTCTTAATTTGAGGTTGAAATTATTCTAAGTTTAGTTTCCCAGTCTCCATTCTTGTCCAGAGCAGAACAAGTCAGAGCAGCGACTCATAACAAAGCTCTAACAACAACTGTATTAACACTTAAAACGTTCACACCTGTGCGTCCTGTAAGCCGCCCACATCAGAGGAGTCATGCCGTTCTGGTCCATCATGTCCACGTCCTGTAACAAAGGAGAGATGCATTAAAAAGAGCCGAAGGAGAGTCTGAAAGAGAAGCTTTAGGGCCCCCCTGGTGGGAAGCACCGGTACTTTCAAAACACAGACTTGACCCACATTGGCAGAAAAACTTGAATGACAGAGACATCAGTAGAATGGATGTTGTTCAGATCCATAAGAAATAACAAATAAATCATGATTTCTGACCCAATCAATCTTATTCCACATCTGATGCTGTGAGAAAAGACGACTGTATGAAGGAAAGTTCTCCTGCTGATTAATCCTGCTGTGCCCTACCTGTCCTTTGGCGATTAGGTAGGCCACGATGGAGGTGTGGCCAAACTGGGCGGCCAGATGACCGCAGCTGCATCCCTCGCCGTCGATCAAAGACGGGTCTGCGCCGTATTTCATGAGCTGCACCACCATGGATAGATGGCCTTGTCTGTGAGGAGACACACACAAAACAAACTTCTAATAAATATCCTACTCCTCCGTACTTTACCAAAGACTAAACACACATATTTTAAACTGAACTGTAATATGCGCCGTTTCCTTTGAAAGGAAGTGATCAGATTTTGATTCAGCCAAGTAGTTGGTAGTTTGATTCAAAAACGCAGTAACGTACAGGAACAAATGACACCAGACTTTAAGAGGATCGGGGTCAAAAAGGCCAAAACTACTCTCACTTGATCGGCCACTTAGATGCAGAGTGGGTGAGCAGGCTAAGCTCAACAATCCAAAGATGAGGGCGTCACTTACTCCCACTCCCACTGCTTTGAACAGCGCGGCCTGCACAATAAATTAAGTAGCCTCATATATGCAGGTGTGATACTAAAAGAATGAGTCCTCGTCTTCTCTTATTGTTTAATGTTTGTCTCAGTGGTATATGAGTCAATTTATTACAGGCGTTTATTGCATGCAGTGTGTGAACATGAGCAGACAAAGCCTCTAACAGCCAGTCTTTAACTCCAGCAGGTGTCTAAATGGTCGAGAGGAAGAGGAGGCTGCGGGGGCTTTTAAAGGTTATTGGTCATCGGTGGGTGGGGGGGAAGTGGGTATGTGACACAGGACTCCTGAGTGTCTGTTAATGTCTGTTGTCAAGCTTATCAATAATTCAGGATGAGAGATTCATGCCCCCATGTCTGCCTGGTCAGGGGGGGTGGGGTGGATCTCATGTGACTCGTCTTGTGTCACTATTATCAGCAGGAAGGAGTGGAACGAGGAAATCAACACATGAAATGGAGGATGTTTGTATGTAGGAAGTAAGGTTAACAAAGTGTCCGATATTTGGATACTTTTAAACCATGTTTTAAAACAACACAGTCCCCATTATTGATGTGATGTGAACACAAAAGAAATAACATTTATTTGATGAGAAAGGTGCAATGGAGAGGAATTAGTCTAGAGGAGAGGAATTTTTGAAAGATTTATTTTGGGCCTTTATTGAATAAGACAGTGGATAGAGTAGGACATCGGGAGAGTGTGGGAATGACATGCAGGAAAAGAGCCACAGGTAGAACTTGAACCCAGCCGCCCGCACGGAGGACTATAGCCACCGTATGTGGGGCGTATGTTTATTTTAACTAGTATCACATCAAAGCTCAAACTTCTGGTATTGTGACAACCCGAGTAGGAACAGGTCACACAGTGCAGCTCTACAATTGGCACAGATGATCTTTTCAAAGAATTGAAATCTAAAAATCATTCTCATATTTACTAGCAGCTAGTTTTACGTCTTTTTAATGGATTTGATATTTTTCAAAGATTGCTCCAGGGATGTCTTTCTCAGTGTGTGACTGCATATTGTTTAACCTTTTCTGTTCATAAAATCAGCATTTTTCCACAGTCCATGGAGGTAAATTCCTCCACATTGCTCTTACAATTTCATTACAACAAAGAACAGCTATAGTTTCAATATTGTTCAATGTTCTTTCACACTCCAATTCATTATTTATTAATTCTATTGACATTTCTAGTCAGTATGAGTACTCTCTGGTTTACTTGTTCTTTGTCTTTGCTCTTTATGTTAAGAGGTATGCACCTAAATCAAAACATGAATCCCTGTATGTGCATGCGCCTGTGACTGTCGGAGTGAGTGAGTGAGTGAGTGAGTGAGTGTGTGTGTGTGTGTGTGTGTGTGTGTGTGTGTGTGTGTGTGTGTATGGATACGCAAGCAGACGCTTGGGTGAAATGTAGCACGGAGAAGTTAAATGTTTTTTTGCACATTTGTAAATACTGTTTTTATGTTGTTTTCGATGTATTGTCCATGCAGCAATTTCCCAGCATCCCAGACAAATTTCTCCCTAGGGAGACCAATAAAGAAACCTTGAACCTTGTATGTGTAAACCCACTTTGCAATAAACCCATTTTTTCATTTTTTTGGCATTACTGTGGATTACCAAAAGACAGAAGAAGAAAAGGTATTTATTTTTATGAGCATGAATAATATTTCACATGTCAATGAATGAGAGCTCTGTGGAATACATATTTTCACTAAAAAGCAGGTGTGTTATCTGTGTGTGTGTTACCTGGTGGCCCAGTGCAGAGGTGTGGAGTTCAGGTCTCCTCCCAGCTGGTCCACTATGGCTCCCTTTGATATGTAGTACCTTCACAAACACACACATTCAGAATCAGCTGACACTCTTCACTGCATCACACTGACTTATTTTCAGTGATATCATTCAGCTGTAGGCTGTAAAGCTGGATTTTATTCTAAATTTGCGTTAACCTTTAAATAACGACCGTATCAAGACGGTTCATATGAGAGCTAGTCTTCATATCATCCAACTACAAGCTCAAGTCTCTAACTTATTTGCTTCTTCCTCTGTCACCTCGGAAAAAAACAAAACATAAAAAAGGACTCACTTGACTAAGTCTATCCTGTTGTTGATGGCGGCCCAGTGGAGGAGCGTTACGTTTTCTTTGTCTGGCTGTCTAACATCGAACCCCGCCTCCACCAACTCCCTGCAGCGCTCGAAGATGCCGTACCTGAGAGAGAGAGAGAGAGAGAGAGAGAGAGAGAGAGAGAGAGAGAGAGAGAGAGAGAGATTAAATACACACATGCATTAAAAAGACAACTAAATCAACAAAACCTGAGCACACTGACAGAACGCAAATATAAATACACACCATAAATCATAAACACACAAACAGACACAAACAAGACTCCCACACTTCAACCAAAGTCCAGAACCTCAAATCAAAACAACATAAATCTGTTGTTTAAAACATCTCAGAAAAAGCTTCTGTTGTCTCATCAGGAAGACATTTCAACATCTCTCCTCTTCCTCGCCTACAGTAACTGCTGAATCAGAAAACCACAGAAACAAACATGGTGCCTTCAACTGGTCACTCATGTGTAGTGTTATGTGCAACACTGAGGTACAGTCATTTTAGGAGCATGTGTGTTCAGCTATATCCATCCATCATTTGTTGGAGAGTTTGTCACCCTTCACCCAGGTCTTCCACCAGATCCTCTCTGTTACATCTCTGCACTTCCTCGTCCGTTAACACCTACAGATCACGTTTTTAACTTTACTTCCAATGGCACGAGATAATACACCATCATGTGGTATAATACTGTATAAAACACTCATACGGGCATTGTTCTGAACCGTCAAAACAAATGTTTTAATGTTGTTTCGGTGTCTGACTTCCTGTCCCGCTTGATCAGCTCTGTGGTAAACTGATGCAAAAATAGAAACCATGCTAATCTTCTGCATAGGGCTCCGAACTGCAGGACAGAGTCAGCGCAGCCACAGGAAACACACACATAGATCATCTCTGTTGCTGTGGTGCAGCGGAGAAGGACCGATCACGCCTCTGGTGGAATTTATTAGTCAGTGTGGAACTGTTTCACATTCTGTCATGTAACTGCACTTTCCTTCTTCAGTTGGCAGATATCAACCACTCGATTCTTTTTGTTAACCATTTTCACAAAGTCTGTTTATTTTCAAATGCTTTTCAAATCACTTTCTTAAAACGCTTCTCTATTTCTTCTGCGTGTCTTCATTATCTGATCAGCATGGCTTTGCTAGCATGTGTCTTCATTCTTTTATTTTGTCAATCAGCTCATTTTACTTTGAGGTCACTCGTGCATGCCGAAGGTCAATCAGGCATGAAATAGGTCAAGTAAGAATTTATTTTTAGATCCCCTCTGCTTGACCACAAGGCAAGCTGCTTTCTTTGTGTTCATAGTTTGTCAATTGAGATTTGAAACCCCTCATTACAGTTCAGCAAGCATGTCCTGATGTTCTTTTGAGACGACAACACACAGATGGCGACAGATTTACTCACTGTGTGGCTTTGACGATGTCCCAGGTGCTGTAGTCGTCAACATGGTTTTTACGGCTGACAGTCTCGGTGTAGCCGTGGTTGTAATGACTCTGAGGTTTGATTTCCTGAAAAGAGAATGACAGACAGAGATTAAGATGAGTAGGTGAGGCTGTATTGCTTTTTTTTCCAAACAACAGCCATTAAGTGTGAACATCACAAATGTGATCATGTGTATTGAATACTTTAAGGTTTGAGTCAGACAAATGGTGGTTGAAGACATTGCCGCACCAAACACAGCAAGAGAAAAGAAGTGGACAGGTATGGCTATTCTTTAAAAGTGAACATGTCTTTATGCATCTTCATGTTACAGAACCTTTCTACAGAACATTACATAAGAGATGTGGGAGAGGAGGACAGTCTGTGTGTGTGACCCAGATCAAAGATATGGCACATCTCAATGCAATCCCTGAGAACTTCAAAATAAAAGGTATTAGGATGTACTAAAAGACTTAAAAGGGTTTTACATCTTCAAAACATAGCACAAATAATTGCTTGTTAACTGTGATTCTTCAAGATAATTTTCCTTTTTAGTTGCTGTGCCCAAAAGCAACACGATCGATCAACAGGGGTGAGAAGGCCTGCAAACCCACACAGATGGTTTCCAATAATACAGCTACGCTTTACGCTTAGGATGTAACTACAGTGGGAGTTAAAGGTTACACTATGAGCTACGACCTAACAACAAAGAAAATGTTGTGAAACGTGCAACAAAACCATGAAGGAGAAAAAAAGACTCACAGCTAAGCCTGCAAACACCCACATAGTCTCACACAGGAAGTAAAGTCAGGAAACACAAGAGGAAAGCCTTGTGTTGAATCATCAAACACAGGTGAAATACCTTTATTAACGCTGGATTACACTGCGATGATTGCTGGAGTTGAGCCATCTTTTATATTATTAGTTCTTCCAGTGCATGCACCGTTTTGACATGTATAAATATCTTTTCTGTAGACACTGAGCCTTTATTTATATGACTAATTACACCATTAAAAGAGGGAACTACAGGCTGCAGGACAAAGACAGGCTTCTCAGTCCTGTTGCAGATGAAGATCTAATCTGTCACACGAGGGCAGTGAGCTGCTCATATTCAATTAGTCGCCATGGTAACATCAAGGACACAACAATTAAGACTCCATCTCCTAGAAACGAGGGACGCATCTTGTAAACACAGAGCGGGGCGCTTTTTCCTCTCTGACTCCTGACTTTGTGAATGAGTGCTCAAGCTCCTGCTCAATCCAGATAGGTTGCTTTGATTTAATTTCAGAGACACACAAATAATCGAGTCGCAAATACTGAGATACACAAAAGAAAGAAAAAAACAACTGGATCATTTTAAGAGTTAAAGCTATAATGCTCAAAGTGACATGCCCTTGATATAAAAAAAATCTGTAGTTTAACAACATTACCACCTATAAAAACATTTGTTCCACTTTCAAGCAGGCATTCACACCTATTGGTAGATATATATATAACAGTAAGAAATATTAAGGAAGCCACTAGGGGGGTAGAGGATGACAGGCATGTGCAGTGCTGTTGGGTAGCCTGAGGCACGAGGCCCACAGAGACTTAAAGCTGCACCATATAACATCTGAGTTTAGCTCGGGCTTCCCTACATAGCCAGCAGGACGGGCTGAGCCAGCGTTTCTGCCTCCACGGGGGACTGCTGGTGGAGCAGCAAGAAGAAGATGGTGCAGGACAAAATCTCATACACTCATTCCTTTTCACACTTGGATGGAAAATGACTCACTGGGGCTGCTGAACTATTTCAAGATATTATCTACCAGTAATTGTTGTTATTTTCTCTGCCAAATTGTTCGGTTGTCAACTATAAATCAGATTTTCTTGAAATTGAACTACAGGCCTTTTTCTGTGCTTTCAAATATTTACAAAGATATGATTGCACCCAGCATAATTAAAATCATAATGATGTGACATCTGGTACAAACAACTGTGTTTTCTTGCATGTGGAAAAATAAAGGTTTTACGGTGCAGGATATCTCTGCAGAACTACTTACACATGCTTTATTGTGATTTTGATAGTGTGCATTGTATACTTTAAAGGAGCAATCCGTAAGATATCTACTGAATTCAATCATAAAGTGACCTTACTCTACCATCAGATATTAAGGAAACATGCTATGTTGAAGTGCTGGCTTCAATGACATCAATGCAGCAGCCAGTCTGTCCTTCTAAGTTACGACTGGTCTGTCTGCATTTGTTTTGACAAGAGAAGGTAGGCGGTTTTAAGGCTCCCCCACACAAAGGTTTTGGACACCCCTCGGTTTGCCAGGCAAACGGCAAACCAACAGGTGTTGCAAGTAGGCAAGTGAACTGGTTCAGATAAATGATTCTGTCTGACCTAAAAAGCCTCGGCAGTACACTGAAAGGCATGAAGACAGATGCAGAGCTGGCTAAGCACTGAAGCTTTCGGTGTCCGCTACACTGCAAACTGTGAGAGCATGGACTCTAGGGAGGAGGAGGCGGGGGGAGACAGCTCTCTACAATGTTTTTGAATTTGGACTGCAGTACCCATTTTAAACACTACGCGTCAGAGTTACATATTGTTCCTTTAAAATCAGAACGGCAACATTTGTTTTTAAGCATAATGTCAATAATAAAACTTAGAATGTCACAAGAATAGCTCCAACGATTTAAACATTGCATTTTACCAGAGAATGTTATGTTTCTCTAACATGTTATATCAAAAGGTACGATCGGTACATAACTGGACTGTTTCATTAAGTTTTCATAGGTCACGTAACAAGCAAGGTGCTCTATGTTGTTAAAAACTTTAACTGAAATTACCCAGTTTCGTATTTAGCATATCCTGTTATCAGATGAAATGATGTGAGATTACAGAATCAACAAACAATTTAAATGGTTTGTCTCTCACTTATTCAGCCACGCTGGAAGCTAGGTCAATCTTTTATGCTATGCCTTGATGTGTAACATGTGCACCAACGTAAACACAGCCAAATAAAGAAATAACAGCAATCAGCTCTCTTTCAATTTAAGTTGGCTGTTATCTAAAGCTCATGCATTCGCTCTGACAGCAGAACAAGCTTAAATTCCTACTCCTATCTCCTGAGCTTTACAAATCTTTGCTCATAAGAAGAATAAGTGTAATCTTTCTGTGATACTACCATGGCAACAGAAGGGACAAATACAGGAAAAGAAGCTAGGATCAGTGGAGGAGAGGTTTTATTTTCGAGACTACAGTATGAGGAGGATGTGTTAGAGGGGGTTTGTAAGTGACCGTCCTGTTCTGTTTTAATTCTTGTATTTTTAAAGTGTCAGTGTTGCCAGGAGGTGATTGTACATCTCACTGCCAAGTTTTGGTCATTTATGAATCTCTATGCAATCTGTTTTAACTCCCCCCATGTACTATTCAGACCAGTTTAGCTGGCAGAGAGAGGACAGTGTTGATAAGAGTCTCTTTATGATGATAGTGACTGCACTGTGTCCAGGGTCCGAAAGTAACACCCGCCAAATAGATAGGGTAGATTTTCCGTTTGGCGAGTACTTTTCAGAGGGCTATCCGCCACAGTGCGGGTAAATGTTTTATCAAAAAGTCATGCACGTTTGATGTAGCCTAGCTGCAGCTACTTTTCTCTGCTGTCTCACACACACACACTCTCCGTGTCTGCAGCTAACTTAGCGATAGCATCGTAATCGTGAACATCTCCACACAGACTCTGTGAAACAGCGCTGTGTTACAAACACTTTCGATATCCTAGCAGACGCTATATGCACGCTCCACTTTTCTCTTCCATCACGTGCAGCAGGAGCAGTCAGAGATATACACACGTCCACTAATGAGCAGGCTGATTATATTAAGTGTCTAATATTGTCAAAGCTAAATCAGGAGAAAACTTGTTTTGAGGATTAATAATTTATTACTCTCTGATGGATTTTTGTTTTTAGTCTGTAATGCAGGGGCGGTTTAGAGCGCAGCAGGAGGGGGGGGGTCTGGGTACTGCTGCCTACAAATAAAACAAAAAACAAACAAAGAATTTTTTTATCTACCTGCCACCTTGGCCTGTGAGTCAAAAAGTTAATTTCGGACCCTGACTGTGTCTCTTCAGACTGACAAACTGAAGTCACCTGGGAATTTTAATGATGGAAAACGTGCACCATCACAGGATGACTGTCTGAGGGGGAAGAGGGCCGGACTCTAAACCCTCACACACCAGATGGGACTCCCTTTCCCCATCTCAAGCTAACCTTGGACCCCTTGCCGGTCACTGCAGCTCCTCTCTCCCTCCTGCCATCTAAAAAAAGCTGAGGATGGCATTTGTAACAGTAGTGATAATTGCAGCTAGTGGATTTTTTCACCTCTTAATTATGTTCCTGCTTACATATTATGCATACAATAACTTGGCAGACAGGAGGACTGGTAATATTGTCACTTAACCATATTATTCTTTTCATGTACTGATTTCAGGTTGGAACACATTCTGAGCAGGGGGGCAGCAGGCCTGGCTTTTGTCAATGGAGCAGATCAGTGGGACAGATGGTAACCTCTCCTCAGGGAGGTGGAGGTCACGTGCTTTGAGCAACAAAATGCTAGAGCACCGTCTCTGAAAATGCATGTTTATTCATTAACATTAGCAGTAGTAGTAGTATCATAATCAGAGCACCAGAACAAAAGAATAACCAAATCTCTGTTCGCAACAACAA